AACACATTGTATGATAATGTCATTAGCTGTGTGGGCAATTCTATTAAAGATTCCTTGCAAAAACAGCAAACATACAGTGTGGCAGTCAAATGGTTCATGCTGAACTTGATGGCCATTAGCAGCACATTTGCAAGTTGGAATAAAGCTATTCTCATGGTCCTCATTTTCTATCACATTGAGCTGTGTGGGCAAAGTGAGACCTGACAGTTTTGATACTCAAGTACAACAGGCAGAGTAGAATTTAGCAGAAGGCTTAGATTGGAAAGACCAATCTGAATAATATGAATAATGGTGATTAAATGTTGCATTAAATATATTAAATTATGCATTCTTTGTAAATAAATCACAAAACCTTTAAGAGTCAAATTTTAGTTTGTTTGGTAAACAGTGATATGATAGAGATTTCTCCAAATGTTACCTGTGAATTAAAAATATCACTCGCTGTTGTATCAGTAAATATAACCTGGAGAATCCAGGAATGTGTCACCTCTCTGTGGAATGTTTAGCGCTTGTGATACCCTACCAGAGCTGTGCTAAGTGCATAGGGAGAATTTGAGAGAATCAGGAACAATGCTGCTAAATATAAATGTAACCCCACAAGAGCCTCTCCTTTCTCTGGAGCGAAACCAAGCATGTCAGTGGATCAGTGTTCCTCTGAGGCCTGCAGTATGCTGTATCACTGTGTTGCCAGAACTCCATCACTCTGTTGTGCCAGTGACTGATGGAAAGGGGTGTAATTTAAAGGACATCCTTTTTACACCCATATCGCACACTTCAACATTCCTCAATGCCCAGCAATTGATACAGTACGTCCCCTCCTTGAGAACTTTTCCAGTGTGTAGCTTGTCATGCAGTAAGCTCTTTATCGAGTAGACCCCTGCTCTGCTGAGTAAAGACAGCATGTGTATTCTACAGCTAAAAACACTCAGGCCTTATTATTGGTCTCATTGCCTGGTTTTTTACCACTTGGAAGTTCATCTACCAGGCGACTGACCTAGTTTTCCGTGTGCAGGTCTGTTAGCAAGGTGGAGATATATTAGTAATGGTACCTTGGAGCATTAACCTTTGGCTTGCTGATAGAAGCCAAGCTGGCTGTAAATACGCCCAGCGCGTTTTCTGCTCATTTATAAGTTTCTCCACAGCACAGGGGATTAGAGCTCAGGGGAGATCAGGATTGGCCTAAAAACTCGACAGGGCCTTTATCAGCCCTTATTACAGGCAGAGGAGAAGTAGAGTTTGTTTTTAATCATTTCACATTCTTGAGGAAGATGAAAATAACCGTAGTTTACAAAATAAGAAAGGGCCATGTGCTGTCATTTTCCCAGCCAGGTGCAGAGCAGGTCAAGTCCTGAAGCTTTCTAAATGACGGCCATTCAGTGCCGAGAGCGGGCTTTTCTTTCAAGTCAGGGACAGTGTTGGACTGCATGCTAACTGAGCTCTTGGTGTTTTTTTACAGGCTGCATCAGGGGTTCCCCCTCCCCCTCCTGTGATAGGGGGTGCTGTACCTCCTCCTCCCCCTCCTCCACCACCTCCACCTCCTCCTGGGGGCTGCCCCCCCCCTCCTCCCCCTCCCCCTCTGTTTTGTGCAGGAGTTCCCCCTCCTCCGCCCCCTCCACCTGGTGCAGGGCCCCCACCACCCCCACCCTTCCCTGGTGCTCCTGGCATTCCTCCTCCACCGGCTCCCCCTGTTGTCAAGTTGCCTTATGGACTGCAGCCGAAGAAAACCTACAAGCCAGAGGTGGCCATGAAGAGAATCAACTGGTCCAAGGTACTGGGTTAGCGTGCGCACTGATTGTTATTGTGTGGCTAGCAATTTCCCTGGGCTCCCTCTTACTGTTACTGTAGATCTGTATTGTAAATATACTGCTTTTCTGCAGCAGTAGAAGTTTTCCTAAAATGTCTGTCAAGCAATGTGGACAATTTACCACTCTCTCACTGGTAAAGCTTCTGTAGATCATAATACAGTTGCATTGGGTAAACAATGAAGAAGAAGAATTTTATAATTAGAACTGCTAGGAGTTTGTAGAGTTTTTATTCTCTGTAAACTAATAATACTCGCCTTGCACCTTGCTCCAGTTTTGCTTCTTGCAATTATTTTTGTAAAGCACAGCTGGAACATATGGGCTGAAGTAATTGTTTTGTACTGAGGCGCCTTGGTTGCAACAGCTTGTTTTTCTCTTGGACAATACAATCAGTGTGGCAGAGACGTAAAACCAGATAAATCAGATAAGCACACTTTATCCTTATTGCTTCAGTCGAATTCAATCTGGAATAATATTATTTCAGGATACACAGTGTGTGCAGTTGTATTGGAATTTATCGCCCATGTGTATATTGACTCCATCTTCAGTCAGACCCCATGTAAAGCCTTTAGACTATGTCAGTTGTTTTTAGATATTGGAAATAACTGCAATTATGAAAATTAGAAATGGAATCTGTGTAAATGGAATACACCTACTGTAGATGGCTGTGTGTGCACTTGCTCTAGTTTGATGCTGATATTTTGTACCATCCAAAAATTTCACAGATTTCTTAACTTTTCATTTGCAATCAGGTTTGCAATGAATACTTGTTTTCCAAGGACTCGTATCCACTCACGAAATGATAGAGAAAGCATATTTCTTTTTCACTGCGGTAGGACTATAGGCCATCTTTATTTTTTTAGGTCCTTCACTGGGGCCATGTTCAAACATAAAACCTTAAGGAAGCTGCTTGTTGGGTAGCTAGTAGTCTATTGATCTGAGGATCTTATCCGGCTGATGTATCTTTCATTCATTTAAATTGAATGTGTTTTTAGATTCAGAGCATTATCTGTGTGAAGACACCAAATTCCCAACATGCATTCTGCATAATCATTTGAAAGAGATATGTATTCCAGCCCTATTGAATTTCACAGGCTTACAGTGTATGAACATATTCCTTTTGAAATTGATCAAATGCATATGGGTATTTGTTAAATTGGATTTTTGTTCATGAGGTTGAAAAAGGCAATTAGAGGTATTTGTAATATGAGGTATTTGTAGTAGATAGATAAGTGGAGTTCTTCTAAATTATATATCTGGACATGTGGTTGTTTTTTAGGTTCTTTTTTTCTGTTACATGGCTATAATGGTAAAATATCCAGTCATTTTATTGTTGCGGACTCCTACTGTACTGTAGGTGAAAACTTGAAGAGTGTAGTTATATTAGTGTATCATGAACCAAGGAGAAAGAATCATTTCTACCAAAGGAGTTTAAATAACAACAATGAGAGCAGTGACCTGCTTTTGCTCAGAGGTTTCTCACCCCCATATAGAAATAATTAAGGTATCCTTGTAATGTCGTATCGGTGTGTTAATTTTAAATTTTAAATCTGTAGTATTTCAGTCACATCTGCTGTGGAAATCCTGCACTCAGTGGTGATTACAGGAGTACCACAGCATTTTTTCATAATGGCCTATGAGCCTGAATAAATGTGCTAATGGGCAAATAAGGCCTATATTCAAAATACCAATAAACATAATGAATCTCTGAGATAAAATACTATGAAAATCAATAATAAGATTGGAAAATGTATGCAAGTTTCCTTTTTTATAGCCTAGGAAGTAATATGTCCTTTTTGATAAAGAAATAATAATTTGAATATATAATTCATATACAGTACGTATGTCAGACATTATATTCAGTTTTCTCTAAAACTGTTGATTTGTTAAGATACAGTAAAACCAAATGAACAATCTAATATTTCTAAAATACCTATCCCCATCTGTGGTCCGTTTTCCTTCTTCATAGTAGGTCCACCTCCAAAATTAGATTTTTGTTAATGAGGTTGAAAAAGGCAATTAGAGGTATTTGTAATACAATGAGGTATTTGTAGTAGATAGATAAGTGGAGTTATTCTAAACAGCGATAATAATAATAATTTGTTATTGTACACATCTCTTGATTGTGGGCTTTCTAAAGATTATGAAAAAAAGTCTCACCAACCTGAGCTGTATGTGTATAAGCCATCATACTGTAGAGAGGAATGCAGTAATGCTGCCATCAGAAATAATATTGCACGTGTCGCCTGTGTGAAGCATTCAATCATTAATGGCTTTGCAGAGAGGAAGAGATGTGCACAGGATATATGGAAATCAATCCATGTTTCTTATGCAAATACACAATATAAAAAACCATGAAGGTGTTTTAACATCTGTGTAATGATACTCAGTTGCTTGATACCCTGTAGTGTGTAATATGATTTTTAATGTGACTTAGTGACAAGACGAAGTGATCGTCAGTGCTTAGAATTATAGACTGTACTGGTGCATATTATTATGTTTATACATTCATCTTTTAAGCAAGTGCATCTATCTCTCTATATTGAGAGATTGAGAAGGAAATTGGTACATATATTAAGTACACAAAACAATAGGAATAATGAAGGCAGAGGTATAAAATGCATCTCATGATCTCATAGATATTCATTATAGTGTGAGGAAAAGCAATAATTTTATCTATATTTCAAAATATGTCAAAGTTAACAAATCCATCTTCAGACGCTGGAGCAGTTGGGTTTGCTGTCAGAGAAATCTGGTAGCATTTCACCTCTCTGTTTTATAAAATTCTGAGTCGAAATATGTGACCTCTTAACATTTTGCCTGTGAAGCACATAATATTAGCCTGCCCTTTTAGCACAGACCTGGAGCCCGGCAACAGTGACAAAATCTGGAAGAGAAGATGTCACTCCAACATGTGTCCATGAGGCTCAGTGTGTCCCATTTCCTGGTTAGTGTAGAGCCTCAGTGTACAGGCCGACCGAGAGACATGTGAAGCTCTGGCTAGAACTCCCCTCCCCTCCACTATTTCTAAATCAGTTTCCTGTACTTTATTGACTTGGACAAACAATTATATGTAACATTTGCCTCCATTTGTGTTGGCGGTTGGTTGCAGCTTTTGTTGCAGTTTTGTGTAATACCATGAACACTTGGCATGAATGCATCTTCAGTGCTCCGAATGCACATTCTGTGTCAGCAATGAGACAGTTTAGCCTGCTTCCATTTGATCAATTTCCATGGTGTACAATTTATTATTTCAGCTGGAAATAATAAATACAATTGTACAGAATAATGTGATTCAGTCTTTGACTGTGACAGTGCCAATGTATTAGCAACGCCACCTCCTTTATTCTTTTTCTAATTGTAACCAGTGTCAACATCTTGTGGTCGAGAATATGCTGCTGCTTTTTCTTAATGTCAGTCCAGAAATTTCTTTGAAGGAAAGAATAATATTTCTTCTTTCTTAAGGAAAAAAAAAACACATCTTGCTTTGCTCTAAATCACCCACTGGAGACCCTTCCATCTCTAACCGTGAAAAAAAATAATAATAAAAAAATGCATAAAAAGGAAAACCAGCCAGGAGCGATAAAGTGAGGAAACAATTTTTTAGCATGTAACTGATTTTCAAGCGGCCATGCTGGAGATTGTTGCCTGGAGGTGTTGTAATGTAATTTCTCCTACGGTTAGAGCACCTACACTTGGGAATGGAACACGTTTATGGAAAAGTAAATGATTGCTCAGCCTGCGTCTCAGGCCCATGGAACAGCATGAAATCCGCCAAGAACTTGTGGTCTGATATCCATGTGGACAAGATAGCTGTTTTACATCAGTTAAAGTCGAGCACAGACACTGTGACACCTACAATAACAGCCGTGGTTCTGATAGTGTGACAATGCTGCAGATTTCTAAACAAAAAGGAATTGAACGCTGTTGTTCTTGTGACTTTCCAAAGGTTTCACGTGCGGTAATTTATTTACTAGTTTTCACAAAAGTTGTCTTTAAGGAGAATATTGCAAGGAGGCTACACTTGGAACAAATAGCAAAGTTAACACTTCAGTTATTACTTTCAGAAAGTTATTGTTAAAGTCATAAAGATAGTTAATGAAGCTGGCTGTTATTATTGTTTTTTGCAGTTGGTTTCTGAAGGTGTCTTCCTCATTAAATTCAGTAGTTACTTTTCCCCCTAGACACCTTTAAGAAGAGTGCAGTAAGTCTGCTAGCTACCCTTCAACAGGGTAGTAAAACTATAAATATTCCAGTTGTTTATTACTTTCGGAAAGTTATTTGCAGGCGACCTGGGGGCTTGCTAGAGTCGTTCTGTTATGTGAAGGAAGGATGCACATCGGGATTTTTACTGTGCAGCGCTATCGGCTTCGGAAGAGATTTATCAATACCGAGCGCAAGATGTTGTAATTAGTTTTGAGGGACTTGTTTGGAGAAGATATATACTACTTGCTGTGCATGTGTAACAGAGTTATTGAATACAGGTGTGTGCATCAAATGTATGAGACTCTGAGGACAGCTGAAGAGGGAGAGATCTGGGACACGTAAATCTGTGCACCTTATGCTGTATTTTAATATGCTATCCATTTGGCTTGCCTTGGCATACTGTAATGGAACATTTCTACAGTGTGTGCCCTTTGGTATGAAAAAAAACAAAACTGTACCTACCATAAAAAATGAGTACCAATAAATTAAAGTTTTTCACTGCCCAAATTCCAAAGTTGTCCTCCAGTTTTAAATTAGGTCATTTGGCCATTTCTTAACTCTACCTCCCGATAACTGCAAAGAATGTCTTAGCCATGTGGGCATTGTCTGTCGCACGTAAATTAAAAGCAGCCAAGTTCTTTTTTAAGGGTGCTCTACCATGAGCGACAGCTCTGCTCTGATGGCTTGGATTCAGGACAGATGGCACACAGTTCAGTTTCAAAAGATTGTTTAATGGCATTTCATTTTTTTAAAGCCTCCATCAAGTGAATTCTGAATTGTGTGCACACTGAGTGTGTGTGTGTAAACAGTCGCACAGAATTCGATGCATTCTGCCTCCTGTCTTGACAGAGGTGAACAACATCAGTGGGACAGTCTGGATGAGATTGAAACATCCCTACTGAATACAGAAAAAAGAACAAAACTTGCTGGTTGCAAGCTGTTCACTTTCAGAGTTGATGAGTCCCCCTTCAATAAAATACATCAGCGCTTAGTATTCAGTTCAAGTATTACAGGCTAAACAGCCTCCTCCTGATTTTAACCTTTCTCTTGTTCACTCAGTTACAAGAGTATCCGTTCCTGTCTGCACAGCTGTAACTGGACTACATGCAGAGATATTCTTGTCACTATGTCTTTTTCTTGTTTTCAACACAAATGTGCTCTGTCACAACACCTGCCCTTTTTCTTAACACCTTTTCACTTTGCGAGAGTAAAAATAACAAAACAACAATTAACCTACAGTACCCATGCAAGTTAACTTGAGTGCATTGTAAAGGATTCTCTGAAAATAATAATCATCCAATACAGTCATTGAAGAGTTTACATAAACCAGATCTGTTGAATGTCATTCTTGACTCCAATTTATATCTTAATTCTGTGACTAGAACTGCTTCTGACAATTAAGAAACATTTCTAAACTCAAAACCTTTCTTAATGTAAAAATGTTCATGCTTTCATGAGATCCCATTCGCCTACCCTAACTCTTTATTTGCTTTCTTGCTTGACAGTGCACTCACATGGCTTTATGGCTGCCAGTAAGCTTACTTCTCTCGCATGTCTGATCACATCACCACAATGCTGACAGCTTTACATTCGTTGTCTGAGAGTTTTCAAAATGACCTTAAGGTATCTAGAATAAAGTGTTCAGGCTTCAGGTCCCTCTTACCGTCAAGAGCTTTTTGGTTCAGGTCACTGTTTTGCGTATGAAAATGGTTGATCAGGTCCTTTCGCTGTTACACCCTGTGTTTCTGAGCTTCCTTCCCAATCAATGTTGAAATTTCAGACACACTAGAAACTTACAATAGACACTAAAAACTGTATGTTAATGTAGTGGTTTGAAATACGACATATTATTGATAATTTACATGTATTTATGCTTATGTTTTGCTCAGTGCTCTGGGATATTTTGGCATGAAGGGCACCATGTAAGAACAAATTTATATCATGTTGTGCAGAGCCATTGCACCTGGGTACTCAATTAGCACCCCAAATGCAACATTACCTATCTTGAGTGTGTAAGTGTTTGGCTGAAGTACTTGGAATGGGCTACCTCAATGCAGCACTTGTAAACAAAGAAATGTTTTATGTGCACCGAGTTGAAAAGAATTACATTTTTCCTTTAGAGAAATCAACAATGAGAGCATTTAAGTTTTGAGTTAATCAGAGGTTTATTAGGCTTAATTAGTCTTTTTACTTTCTTTCAATTAGTGGAAATTGCTGATATGCTGAAAGATCATTTAAGTGTTTTTTTAATGATCCATAAAAAATTAAGTACTGAAAGTCCTGGAAACAGACAAATTACTGCATCCTGATACACCTATAAATCAACAAAAACTAATTAATGTATATGTTTGAAAATGTCTCTTACATGTGCAAGTATTCTGATTAAATTCATAGGTTACCAGTATATATAATATCCACCTTCTTCATGCAGAAATCTTAACACTTAAGTGCTCAATGTCTTAGGAATGCTAATTAGTTGCAGTGATTGAACATTTAATTATGTTCCTGTGCACTTTCAGATTGTGCCTCAGGAAATGGCAGAGAGCTGTTTCTGGATTAAAGTCAAGGAGGAGAAGTTTGAAAGCCCAGACCTCCTCGCTCAGCTGTCCCTCACCTTCTCAACGAAGACCAAAGGTATGTGTGTTTCTCACAGGGGCTCATTCCGACAGCAAGATATGAACCTCTGGTGTCCTGGTTTTGTGCTGTGGTACATTTCCCAGTTCCTTGGAGGCATCTTAAAATTTCGAAGATGGGGGTTTGCTATGTAAAGCTTTTAGACCCTAGATCTTAGGAAAAACTCTCCAAATGATGTGCCACTCACATCGTTTATGTCTTGTGATGTACAGGATCTAGGTTTACATCCTTATTTTTCAGACAATTGATCTTCAGTTAATCAAAATATGTTTAAAATGATCAGGTCTTTCCTATTAAATGTGTGCTTGATAAACACATTCTGTAAAACCTGTCTCCTGTTTGCTGTTAAACTCCCAGTTAGCACACGCGTGATTGAGATCAGCGTACCATTTCATTTACTTTCAGGAGACTGTTCTGTGAAGACAGACAACTAGGTTGGCATTTCTGAGCATCTATATTCTTCCTTTGTTGGTAAATGTACATGACCTCTACTTTTCTTAACCTGTTGATTAGGAGTGGGAAGGGGTTGCAGGACAATGTTGTCATGACAACTCCAGTCAATTGACTTTTCTGACAGTATGTTTTCTGGACCTCTAATTTCCCAGAATGCATTGTGGACAGATCGCATGTAGCACAGGGGCTGTCAAACTGTAAGAACACATTTCAACCTTTCAAGCCTCCCCATCTGTGGATATTCCCACACTCTCTCAGCGTCTTTTCCCCCTCTTTCTCTGTCTGTTGGCAGATGTCAGGATTGTGCATTCTCTACTGAAGAGATGCTAAAAGACATACAAATTTTTGAAGAATACATTTTCATGCCATATGGAAAGAAGTTGCAGTTTAACGGGCAACATTGTTGCCTGTTATTCTCCTAATGCAAATTGAGCGGAGTAACCTGAGAAATGTAACAGCACGAAGTAAAGAACTGCTGGCAGGCAACTTTGCATGGTTATTGTCTTTGCAGTACAGGTACATGGGGAGGAAAAAGGAACTTTCCTGTAGTTAACACAAGGTTTTACTGCAAGTGTGCTTCCTCTTCTTAGTATTGAAAGTCAAACAGAGACGTTGGATTTACATGCTACTGTGGACAGGCTGTTTCGAATACTCTCGAAAAGGGGCTAAAAGTTTAACACTGAACAGTCAAGAAAATAAACAAGCAAATAAATAATCCACAACAAAAACATCCTTTAAATTATGGAGAGTGAAACATTACCTCTAATTAATGTTGCAAGCTATATATTGGAAAACTCATTAACACTAAAACAGAAACTAAGAAACATGCTGTCTTACGTTTTCACAGCAGGTTTGGAAGAGTTCAGTTAGCAATAGTCCTTGCTTAATGTTGCATTAGAGTATGTACAGTATATGTGCATTAGGTGTGGTACAGGTACTGTACATCTTAAAGCTTCATTAAGAAATGCTTTAACTGTATCTATACTCTTTGTAAATAAATGAAGGTGTTAATTTATCCACTAGACTTTTCACCATCAGTCCTATCTTGTCTTCCTCATCTTTTCAAATGAGCTCTTTATGGTAATAAAGAAAAGGCAATTTCATTCTGAAAGCACCTGTTTATTGGAGACCTGTTTATAACAATGCCCCTGGTGAAATTGTCTGATTCATATCAATAACACCTATACAGTAATTCATTACATTAGCACTGTGAAATATATATTTTTAACAATTAAGCAAAAGGAGTTTTGTTAGTTTCATTTGTGCTTTCAATTATAGTTTATTTTCATTTTAGTTGCTGATTTGACAAATATTTAGAATTGTGTGGCTTACCATGAATATTACCTTACAGATCTGCTTCAGGTTGTAACATTATTATTTAAAATGAATAATAAAAAATAATCATTTTGAGCAAATAAGCCACAAGTTAAATACATTGCCTGGTGTATAGTACTTCAGAGCTAAAACGTGCCGCACATTGAGCAGTTTTAAAAAGAGGACTAACCATGAGAGTATCGCTTAACTTTTTTTTTCTTTTCTGCTCTCTAAATTTCAATGTACACTTCAATATCCAAATGTATCCATTGCCATAATTGAAAATGCTTATGGAAATTAAAATGAATATGTGATCCCTGGACACTCATACGGTTGTAAATGCATACACAGATATAAAAAAATTAAAGTTTCAAGGGCTGTGATCATTCTTTAAAAGCCTTGTTTTCTTACTACCTGTGGTTTAGATCTTGCTGTTTATATGCATGTCCTGTATCGGAGTTGGGGGCTTAGTCAGGTCTCTTTTTCAATGCATTATCCTGTACTTCAGTCCTGGGGGTGACGCTGTTACAAAAAGCACTTTAGTGCCCCAGGTTGTTCTGAAATATTTCCTCCTCTGGGGCAGCTCGTGCTGGCCTGCAAAGAGCTTGTTGTTAAAATCCATGTTTTTATGGAAGATTCTCCCCGTATTTGTGTCATGCAGTGTTTCTAGCCATTAATGCAGCTCACAGGCATGTTTTTTTTTTCCTTAAGGTAAACCTTTAAAGCAAGCGTTCAGTGAGAACATATTGTGAGAGATGAGAAAAGAAAGTGAAAATGCACTTGCATCACAGGGGTGCTGGTGAGGGGTGCGAAAAGCATGTTGTAAAAGAGCTGTCCCAGAGGTGTTCCTGAAGTCTCTAAGGCTGTTAAAAACTCTTAGTGCAGAAGGGGATATAACTAGTGTCCTGAACTGCTAGTCGAAAATATTGAAAGGGCTGCCTGAACTATTTATTTACTCAATATTGATATTTGATCTGTTACTTCAAATAGAAACATAATTATGTAGAACATTATTTTTTTACAGAAGGCATATATCAAAAATGCATTTAATATATGGTAATTTATTAAATTGTGTAACTTAACTTTGTACATACATAGTGGTTATAATTATACATAAACAGATGTCTTTTTCCTTTAAAAAGTCTGAAAGCTACATTTTAACTCTGGTTTTTGTTTGAGGTTTTGAGCTGAAAAAAAGTAAGAAAAAATATTGAGGGTTTGTAAAATAATATAGCTTAAACATTGTACACAAAACTTAAGGAACTATAAACATAGGCTTATAAGGATATGCTACTTATAAACTTAAGCTACTTAAGATACTAAAGTTGTCACAGTTGTTTTAATCAGGCCATCAGGAAACAGTAATAACTAAAATCCTCTTTGTATCATTTGTTCATAATGGTATTGACAAAGGGCTTCACTGAGTTAGGAACATTAATAAACAGCTTGTACTGTACTTATCTTCCTGCTTCCTTAGCGTAAGCTTCAGCCTCTGATTTTTAACTTGATTTTATCACACTAGACTGTGTTTGTCTTTAAAGCTCGTCTAAGCAAGTACATCTGAATGCATTTCCCAGGCCTTGTTAAAAGGTACTACCTGCTGTGACCTGTGACTGCAAAATTTCAAAAAGAGCAGGAAATTAGTGGTGAACGGTGAGGCTTTGCGCTTTGCAAAAAAGACTCCCTGTGCATTTCTGATCTGAGACACATGGAGATTCTGGCACTTTCTTTGTTTAGTTCTTTCTTTTGAACTTAAATCCGTTCTGCTGTACAATTTGAAATGTGTTTTATTGTTTTTTTTTTTGCTCCCTCGCCTAAACTCTTCTCATTGTTGTATCAATCAATGGTCTTGCCGCCGTTCTGCTTGAGGGATCTAATAAGATGCACTTGTTGATTGACCATGCAACACAGAGTACTGCATTTGAAAAGCAATTTTGTAGCAAAGCTTTACTGTGCAGTTGGCACAAGATTGATGTTGGCAAACATTTTTTTTAAATTGTTTTTGTACAGGCTTCGAGTACTACAAAACAGATTTTCTCATATGGAGATACCTTCCTGAAAATATAAGCTCACTCTGTGCATCTTCTCCCTTTGGGTGTGAGAGGACCACCCGTAGAACTGATAGGAAAATAAGACTTTAATGAACTGTTAATAAAACATTTCACGTTCTTAAAAAAATAGGCCCCTAGGTACAGCTTATTGTGTAACTCACACATACATTAAACAGTGGGCTAGAAATCAAAACTGACTTTATAATACTTTAAAAAAAATGTTGTTACAGGTTTTCTGTTAACTAATAGAAGAAAAAGTTAGAATACTATGTGTAGAACGCATCTTTTGTTTTCCAAAGCAGGCTCGTGCACTCAAAAGATACCAAAAATGTCAGGCAGGAAGAATGAAACCAGTCCACAGACTGGCATGCTGTAGTGGGAGTAGGCAGGGCACCACACACTAATGCTCCAGCTAATTTATTTATGTTTTAACCTGGCATGAAAAGTAACGCTCACTACTCCATAGGGAATGCCTGCCTTAAGTTTCATTATCTTTAGCTATTTTATCTCTAACTCTGTCTAATCCGATCTTCTGATAAAGTGTTAGAATGAATGGAACAGACAATCTGATTTGATGTGAGTGTCTTTTAATCTGTTTGTTACAAACCTGTCTTCACTGTGAATTCTTCACAGACAAATTACACACAAACATATAATCTTGCTGGTGGGCACCCAACACAATGCTGTACAACGAAGTAAAGGCATGGAGTAAGCAAAGCTATCCATGTTGGGGCTAAAACCAGGCTGGGGAAGTGATGAATGATTAGGATTGCGAGTAAATGTATTGTTATTATTAAGGTTTGGTGTCAAATTCAGCACTACAGTTTGCATTTAAGAGGAAGTCAGCTAGGGATAGGAATTACCTACATTCAGAGTTAAAGTCCAGTGTCTAGATCTACAGTTTCGCTTATGTCTACAGTAATTAGCATGTTAAGTAATAGAGCAGTATATTGTGTATATACAGATATATTATATACAAGTACTGTACACAGATTTCAGCTTTGGCTTTACCTTAAAAAACATTTATTCTTAATTTCCTTACATACCTGGTTCTTTGTCCTTTGTACAATTAATAGTGGTAATTTGTTCTGTGAACAAGAGTTTAACATATTAAATTACAATACTATGCATTACCATTGCTTGCTTTTAAACACAGCCAGAATCCAGGCTGTATAAGTACAG